AACAACAGCCTAATCTTTCAATGTTTCCCTTTTGTCAATCTGTCCCCATTGTCGAATCCCTCTCTCTCTCTCCTCACTCACTCTCTCTCTCTCTATATATGTATATATATATCACACTGTATATAGTAATTACAGCACTCACAGTTTGAATTTCATTTGTTGTTTTATGTTTCTCTATAATTTTCTTTATCTAAAAGTCAGTATTGATACTTTCTTTTGCCAAAAATCTCATGTTTTTATTATTTAGACTTTGTATTTAAAAATATATATATTTTTTTCTCTCACAAAATATTCTATTATACATTATTTTAATATTAAATTTAAACCAAAATTTTTCCAGATTCATCGAAAGAAACACACCCATATTGGGAATTTTGGTTTGTTAGAGGTACGAAAAAATTTATTGAATGTAGCTGTTGTTTGATCGTAGTTTGAAATTGATTTTAGTTTTTGTTTAAAAAATATTTTAATTATTCCTCCTTTCCGCTCTAAAGGTCATATTTACTTTTTGTGTATTGATTTTTAAATATTAATTATTATATCAAAACGTACTACAAACCAAGAAAAAATAACAAAAATACTTCTATCAGCCTGTTATAATACTAATATAATTATATTTGTACAAAAAAATTATACAAATATAAGAATATTTTTACTATTAAATACAATGATACTAAATGTAAATATAATCCTTGAGGTGGACCGAAGGAATATAATATTTTATGAAAATAATAATATATTTTTATTGAAAATTATGCAAAATGCTATTCCCTCCGTTCCAGATACCATGTCACACGTTGCAGTTTTTGTCCGTCCCACGTACTATGTCACTTTCCTTTTTTGGAAAATGATTACACACTTTAATCTCATTTTAAATTTTTAAATTTTATTTTTTTAAATTTTAATTAAACTAATTAGTTATCTTAATCTTAATTTGTAATTATTTATATTATAAGATAATTATTTTCACTAATATATTTTTAATTATCTACTAATTACACTCCTACTAAAATACCGTGTCTACAGTATAGCAGACACGGTATCTGGGACGGAGGAAGTATTCAGTATGAAATCACAAAGAACAAATGCTTAATTTTAATGATTTTGGAAAAAAAAAAAATGAAGATATTGTATTATCAAGAAAATTCAAAGAGAACAAAAATGGACCCTAGCAAGCTTACTATAATAAGTTTAATTTATTTGAACAATTTTTTAATAATATTTAATCTGATAACTAATTGGACATAACTCATTTATTTTTTCAGTACACAAATTTGTGATGTGACACTACAAAAATTTAAAATGAGTCAGCATTGATTGACAAATTATGTTACCTGTGGTGATATCACATCGTTGTAATTAAGAAATTAAATGTCAATGTTGAACCAGCTGTTACTATAAATATGTATTTAGTTGCTGCTTTTTTTTTTTTATATTTCATCTCTATAATAACAAAATATTTATTTTTTCATTTTAGTCGATTCCATAATAATATATTTATTTCTTTTTTTTTTAGTAATTTTACTATATATCTATCTAACATTACAAATATTCTTATAACTTACAATATATTATACAAATGTCATTACTTTTATATCACACATACTAACAAGGTTATTTTAGTCATTTCTACTTTATTCCTACTACATTCTAATATAATACTAATATTTCTAAAATTACGTACAAAAAAAAAATGAATATTTAGTTATGAGACAAAGGGAGTATAAAATTGATATATATATATATATAATGTATTTTTGAGTAAAAATATGAAAATAATTACGACTAAATGAACAAACCCTAATTTTTAATAAAGTTCGAGGTCTAAGGGTATGTTTGGTTTGAGCTTATTCATAAATAGTAGGGGTTAGATTTTAGGTTAAGCTTGGCACATGTGTTCTTTTGGTGATTTATTATTGATTTTAGTTTTATATATTTATTTTTTTGTTTAAATTATAGTTTGATTACGATGTTTTATGAAAATAATAATAATAATAGTATTCTCTCTATCTTCTAAAATTATATGTTTATTTTTGGGTAAACTATTTTTTTTAGTCCCGTAACTGGACCCCTTATCATTTTAGTCCCGTAAGTGGAGCCTGTCGCAAACTAGTCACATAAGTGAAAAGTTTTTGCTGTTTTAGTCCTCCGATGCCGGAGACGCCCGCGTGGCTCGCCGGAGGTGACTTGTCCGCCAGGTCAGCCTGGCGGACACATGGATTTTTTTATTTTTATTTTTCATTTTTCAATTTTTTTTTAAAACTTATTTTTAATTTATTTTTAATTTTTTTTGTATTTTTTAATTTGGTCTAATTAAAAAAAAAATGAAAAAAAAAAAATCCACGTGTCCGCCAGGTGTCGCTGACCTGGCGGACACGTTACCTCCGGTGAGCCACGCGGGCGTCTCCGGCGCCGGAAGACTAAAACAGCGAAAATTTTTCTTGGACTAGTTTGCGACAGGCTCCACTTACAGGACTAAAATGATAAGGGGTCCAGTTACGGGACTAAAAAAACACTTTATCATTTATTTTTTGTTTGTCTTCTAACAAGTTTTTTATATACATATATATATGTTTTATTTCATACTACTCCCTCCTTTCCAACTCAAAGTACTTTTTTTTATTATTTTTGTATGTCCCACTTTAAATTATTTATTTTTTATTTTAGTAAAAGTAATCATACACTAATACCAAAATACTCTTAATTTTTATTTAAATTACAAAAACATATCATTACACATATATAATTATTTTTTACATAAAGTCAAAAGGCAAAAATATCAAAACTTCTTACACACTTTCACTAACTAATAAAATACTATTATTATTTTTTAATCTACTGCAAAACCCCAAATTACCCATTTGGACCGGCACAAAAGGATTATATATTATGAATACCCTTAAATCAAAGAGTTTTCATATTATTTGAAGTGATATATTTTTATTTAAGATATAGGAAATTATACGGGTAATAATATAAAAATAATGAATATATGTAAAATATTAATTTTTTTGAAAAAAATGTGTTTGATTATTTTCACAAAATAAACAATTATTTATATCAATACTATTATATCAAATTAATATACAAAACCAAAAAATCTTTACACGAAAAACACTACCAACGACGATATAAATACTATTATTTTTAATTTTTCACGTAAAATACAAATATATATATTGTAAGTGGATGAAAAGAATATAGTGTGTTTGTTTGCCCACCGGTTTTTTTCCAATAGGGTTCTTAATATATATATTTTATTCTCTCAGAAAAATCAAAATTCAATATAAAATATTATTTTTTATTTTATCGATACAATTATTTATACCTGACATAAAAAAAAATTAAATTAAATCAAAACACTGAACAAACAACCTAGGATTTTATAAGAAAAGTGATTATTAAATAATATGTTTTATATATAAAATAAAAATACATCAAATTTCAAATAACAAACACACGCGCACAAAAACTCATTACTTCATCAAATAACATTACTCCGTCCGTCCCATGTAATATGGGTGTATTACCGTAGACACGGAAATTTAGGTAAAATATAATTAGTAAGTAATTAAAAAATATATTAGTAAAAATAATTATTATTTAGTAAAAATAATTATAAATTAAGATTAAGATAAGTAAATAATTTAATTAAAATTAAAAAAATTATAAAATTAAAAATTAAAAATACGATTAAAGTGCATAATTATATTTCCACGAATAGAAAGAACAAGTTATGTGGGACGGACGAAAATAGAAAATAGGGATAAATTATGTGGGACAGATGGAGTATTTGTTTCAAATTCAAACCTTAAAGAAACACACTCAATTTCTTTTAAGCAATCCAACATTAAAATAAATAGATAAAATAATAACTAAAAGAATTCAACAACACATTTTTTCTAAAAAAAAATTCACAAAAGTAGAAAATTTAGGAATGTGTTTGATTTAAATTTCAAACTCAAATCAACACAAGTATGATTTTTGATAAAAATATACTCTCTCCGTTCCAATAGAGTTGTCTTGTTTTTTCATCTTCATCCGTTTCAAAACAATTGTCTTGTTTCCTTATCTAGTAACTGTGGTTCCCACCTTATAACAAAATTATTCCTACTTTTTCAAATTACCCATAATTATTAGTCTAACCTACTTTTTAAAATCATTCAACTATTATTTTTTAATTTCCGTATTCACTTCCAATAAGACATTTTTTTTGAGACATAGAGAGTAGTACAACTTTATCATATAAACTATTAATAAAAATACTACTTTCTCCTTCAATGTAAATATGTTTAGTTTCTTTTTTTGGCTTATGCACACAATTTATTTTGTAAATAATTTTATTCACTAATACTTTTATTATCTTTATTTTAATAAACAAAAATCAATTTGCCACTATTTTTTTTTTTTTTTTTTTTTTTGCTCATCAAAGATTATTTTGTTATCAATTCTTTAATAAATTTTTTATACTCCCTCCGTCCCACAACTATAGTCTTAATTGGGTTGGACACGAGATTTAAGGAATATTGATATTATATTGGTAATGATAAAAAATATAGATAAAAGACTTTTTTGTCCTTGTTAGTGTATTAATGTAAAAAGTAGGACAATTGTATAATAAAAATGAAAAAGCAATGGTAGTTTTATGGCGATATAGTTATTTATAGAAATAAGACTATTGTTTTGGGACGAATAAAAATAGTAAACAAGACTATTGTATTGAGACGGAGGGAGTATCATTTTACTTTTTACTTACCCATTTATAATTACATCAAAATATCATTATTTTTTAGTCTCGTATTCAAATAAAATGATATAATTAGTTCGGACCGATAAAGTATTTAAATAAAAATTCAAATCAAATATTCAATTTATTATTTTTTTTATTTTTTATTTTTTTTAAAAAAACCCAGTATTTGAAGTTCTACTTTCCGTTGTTGTACCTTCACATTCTGAATCGATGTTTTTTACATAATAAAGATAATAACAAGTCAGTTCTTTCTTTTACCTTCTTTCTGTTTCTACACAAATTTTCATACCACAAATAACAAACAAAACCTAACCAAACCAGATATATAGAAACACCTGCATAGGGAACTACCCTCATCTCATCCATCCCTTCTTTCCCAAAAACCCTAATTTCAGGAAAACAAAAAAAAAAAAAACCAAACCCTAATTTCCCCAAATTCCAAACTTTCTTGATCACAAATTAGGTCAAAACTATGTGGATGACAAGAGGATACACCGGCGCCGCCGACGAACACTTCACCGCCATTCAAGATTCCTTCGCCGGCCGGAGGCTCCGGCCCCTCATGCCGAGACCGGCCGCGATCTACGGCCACGATCTTCTTGCCCTAAACCATCACTTAATTGGCAAGTACTCTTCAATTCAATATTGATCCAATATATATATATATATTTGTTGCGATTAATTTAATTTTAATTGTGTGTAATTATATCTATATATATATATATGTATAAGTTGAATTATTGTGTGAGTTGATTGATCTAGGTGAGTCTCAACAAAAGCATCAACAAGTCGTAGTAAGTTCGCGATGGAACCCTACGCCGGAGCAGCTACAAACCCTAGAGGAATTATACCGGAGGGGTACCCGAACCCCATCTGCCGACCAAATTCAGCACATCACTTCCGAGCTACGGCGCTACGGCAAGATCGAGGGCAAAAATGTCTTTTACTGGTTTCAGAATCACAAGGCGAGAGAACGTCAGAAGCGCCGCCGTCAGCTGCCGCCGGATCACTCCTCCGACGAGCAATGCAGCCATGGAGACAACAAGAAAGACTCATCAAGTGGTAAAAAAAAATTAATAATAAAAAAGATATTTTTTTTTTTTGTATAATTCGATAAATAAAAATTAAATAATCACTCATAGTAAACACACCGACACTTTGCAAATTCGTTAATTATTCATATTTAAGATAACACATCGATAATTCGATCTCCACAGTATGTTAGCTCTACAATTTATATCAATCTTTTTTATAAAAATATATATGTTTTTGGAAAACCCTAATAATATTGGATGGGTTTTTATTTAAAATAACAAATGGACAATTCGATCTCTACTGTATGTTAATTAACTCTACAATTTATATCAATTTTTTTAAAAAATTATATTTTTTGAAAACCCTAATAATTTTGGATGGGTATTTATTTAAAATAACACATCGATACTTCGATAATTAGCTCTACAATTTATATTTTTTTAAAAAATTATATTTTTGGAAAACCCTAATAATATTGGATGGGTTTTTATTTAAAGTAACACATCGATAATTCGATCTCCACTGTATGTTAATGACCTCTACAATTTATATCATTTTTTTCTAAAATTATATTTTTGGAAAACCTTAATAATATTGGATGGGTTTTTGTTTATTTATTTATTAATGAATTTATATATATATATATATATTTGATCGGAATGAATTTATATTTTGGTTTTGTCTTATGTTAATTTGTGTGCAGCAGCAGGAGCAGGAAACAGAAGAGCAATTGAAGTTGAAAAGACCAAGAACTGGGCATCTTCTACAATGGCAGAGGTCATTTCTTTCTCCTAACTTTGTCTTTCTTCTTCGATTCTCGAAACATTAATAATTTAAAAATAAATAAATTAATTATTAAATAATAAAATAAAATAAAATAAAATCACAACCACTAGTTCCCTCATTATTTCCACATCATTACCTGCATAATAAATTAAATTAGATGCACACATTTTATTTTATTTTATTTTTATTTTGTTAATTTTATCATCCAAAAAGATTAGGGTTTTCTATTAGTATATTTTATGAAGCTTTTGCATCACATATATAATTAAGGGAATAAATTTATTAGGGGTGTGTTTATTTGTGTTTTTAGCGCTGTCCAATTTTTAAATAAATTATTATTATTATTATTAATTCCTCTGTTCCATATGTAAGTATACATTTGTTTTTTGCAAGTAGTTGTATTATATTAGGATATAATAGGAATAAAGTAGAAATGACTAAAATAATCTTATTAATATGTGTGATATAAAGGTAATGACATTTGTTTAATATATTGTAAGTTGTAAGGGTATTTGTAATGTTAGGTAGATAGTACAGTTACTAAAAAAAATAAATGAATACTTTGTCATGGAACAGACTAAAATAAAAAAAATTGATACTTTGTTATGGGTAGAGATTATTATTATTATTATTATTAAATTAATTTATGGAAGAAGAAGTTAAAAGGATTTGTTGGGAAATGTAAAAAAAAGGTTAAAAAAGCTGCATTCGTTCCTTCCCTTCTGTCGGGGCTGCCCAAACCCACAAATTATTTTTTATATTTTTTGACAAAAAATATAAAATTTATATTATATGTCACAGAATATAAGTATTAAATTATTATTGAAATCAAGATATAAATTTTCAAACAAAAAAATTCCTAGAAGGAACAATTACTTATTAGGGTTTTTCAACTTTGTGCCTTTTTTTTTTTAATAATTATTATTACAATTATTCATTTCGTTTCAAAAGCTGGTCTGGCGTGTCTACTCTTTCATGATCCTCTATGTTAATTGACACTTCTACCCCTACCTCTAATCTTGGCTATTTTTTTATTTTTTTATTTATTTTTCACATTATTTATAACAATTTCTCTATTTAATACTCAGTTTGGTTATGTTCATTTTACTACTCCCTCCGTCCGCCCTCCGCCGCAGATGATCTTTTTTTTTGTACGTCTCACAAAAGATGACCTATTTTTATTTTTGATAATTTTATCAATCTTAAACATATTTAACAAATATAAATCAATTTAATTAAACTTCTAACATTTTATACGTAGGACATTAACATAATTTTTTTTATCTATATTTAAAACTTCTCATTTTTTATAAAACTAATTTATAGTAATGATATTTTTTTATTTATTTGTATTATATAAAATTTTATTATCTACAAAATGATATTCATATTGCATATATTTTTTCGAAATATAATCTTAAAATTTTTTAAAATACCAATAATATTATTCATATATAAAATAATAAACTAATATCATAACTTATTATAAATAACTTGCTAATCTACACTACCTAAAAAACTGTATCTCTAATAAAAGGGTTCATCTCTCGCGGAACGGAAGGAGTATTTTAATTTGTCTATAAAAAATATGTTCATATTATATTTATTGAAAAAATACAGTCCTTACTAAAATTACTTTTGTTTTTCATATATTTAGACAAATGTTAGGATCTCACATATTTATTACACATATTGTACTTTAATTTAAAAAATTGCATTACTAATCCTATAACATTTCAATTCTATCCTTACAAAGTATATAAGTAATACTACCTACGTTCGGCTCCAAGGATTTCATTTACTTTTTGCGTATTGATCTTTAAATATTAATTATTATAAAAAAATATAATACAAATCAAGGAAAAAAGACAAAAATGCTTCTATTAGTGTCTTATAGTACTATTATAATGATATTTGTGCAAAAATTATACAAATATAAAGATATTTTTAATATTAAGTACAGTGACGCAAAAGGTAAATGAGATCTTTTGAGCCGGACGAAAGGAGTATTAAAAATATTATATTTCTTTGATTTTCTTGTCCACAAATTTTAATTCCGCCAATTTTTTTTTAGGACCGAATGAATATATTGTATTCAATATTTACTTCTATTTAGGATAGTATATTAAAATTTTGTTTTTATATAAAAATATTACATTGATCATATATTTATATAATATGAAATGCTTATTTTTAATTTAATTTTTTTATTATTATCATTTTTTAAAAAAATTCTAAACATTTCTAAAATCTAACATTGACACAAAAAAGGAATTAATATATCATACATATTTATTATTTTTATGTTACTTACGTAATTTTCTGTACTTTATATAGAAAATATTCCTTCAAAATATTTTACAAAACAAACACACTCATACAAAATAAAAGTGATAATTTTAGATTTACACTCTTATTTATTGTGTTGGTTTATATTATTATTATTATTATTATTATTATTATTATTATTATTATATTATTATTATTAGTATTATTATTAAATTATCAGAATTTCAACGGAATGAATAATTTATGCTGGCTTGTGTTCTTTTTAGTTATTATAAAATATAAAAGTGTTATTAAAATATATATATTGTTTTTAAATATTTTATAAAAAAAAATAAATGTATTTTTATTAAAATTCTTTAAAAATTACAAATTGTCAGTTTCTACTTAAACATGTTCGAAATTATATATATATATATATGTGCATGTATATATATACTAAAATTAAAACAAAGGTCAACCATAGAGACAAAAAAATTATGGATTGTCTCGTGTGTATATATATATATACACGTTTTTGTTCCTTTTTCTTGTTTTATAAATTACTATTTTTTATTCAAATTTATTTTTAGGGTGTGTTCGTTTGTAGGACTTACACAAAATCTTACTATTCATCCAAAAATTTCCCCCCAAAAATATCAAATCAAACACCTATTTTTCATTTTTTATATTATATTAAAAATCAATTTTACATTCAAAACATCACATCAACACCTATTTATATCACATCATACAACTATTCAAATTCAAAATTTTTACTATTCAAATCCCAACTCAAAATCCAAACCCCCAAACAAACACACCCTTACTTTCTTTTTTAATAAAAAAATATTATTGTACTGTCATTATTGTACTATTTTCTTTACTATAAAGAGTAAAAAAATATAATTGTTCAATTAAGATCGACTCAAATCGTACTTAAAGAATAACAACGTAACTACATATTCTCATTTCATAATCAATATATATATAACTATTCATTGTAAGGAATAGTCGAGTTCAGTGACGGAACCAGCAGTAAAAGTCCGAGGGAGCAAAATTGATATTTTTTTTTTTAACGATTCAATGTTCTTGTCTTTTATTCATAGTATACTCTGCCAAAAAAAAAAAAAAAGGAAAATTTTTAAATGTTTTAGAAAAAAATTCAACAAAATTACATAAAATTTAATTTTTTTTTTTACTGTAAATAATAAAATTTAAAGACTAAATGTATAAATCAACAAACAGATAAATTTTTTATGAATTTTACATTACAAAATAAAAAAATTAGGAAGGACAAATTACTATAAAAATACATAATTTTATTATTTTTTACATAAGAAAAATACATATATTTTGAGGATCGGGGTTGACTCCCCTAACCCCATGTAGTTCCATCATGGTCGAGTTGGTATGGTATTGTGGCCAGTTATTCAAATTCTACCAACGTTTTCTAAATTAAGTTTTTTCATACAATACTTATTTACAATTTTAATTTACACATATATATATATATATATAGACACACATATGTACAGTGTGGATTAAATACTTACCCTTTTGCATATAGGCATTTAATTATGATCAGAGAAGTGCTTCAGCAGAATCTAAAGGGCTACTGATCGATGGAGACATGACTGTAGACTCCCGACACCATAGGAATGCCACGTGGCAGCCAACGGATAATTTGTCTTATTCTGCCGCCGCCGCCACCACCACCGCCACCGCCGCCCCCCTAATTATCAACAGCAACCCCTCTTCCTCTACTTCCACTTCCTCTATTGCCATTGCAGATGCCAATTTAGGCACTGTTCATTCAGAAATGACGCATTTTGTTGACAAGAATAGTCTTGATTCTATCTGCGTATTTGTCGAAGCCCTTTGCGACCGATATAGGGATGAGGATGAGGCCGAGGCACAAACTCTTCAATTGTTCCCTCTTCGGGGCGATGAGGAGAACAAAAACGAGGATGAAATTGAAGATTGGATTAGGGTTCCGGATCCGGATAGGGTGGGAGTTGCGAATGATGTTGCCACTTATCAATTCTTCGAGTTTCTTCCGATGAAGGATTGAATTTTATTTTTATTTTTATTTTTTTTGTGTGTGTTATTTGAAGATGATTAATAATAGAATTTTAGAGAACGATATATGATGTGATTGCATATTGGGTGAATTGGGATTCGCTTGACGCGAAAGAATTTTATTTTCTTAAAATGCGCCTTGTTGAAGAGCTCGAGCTTGGTTTGTATTCGTTCGATAAATAGAACAAATTGATACTATTAGATTGTTTTGTTGTTTTGGTTTGTTATGTTTTTGTTATTATCATTTATATTTTGGTTATTATCATTTTCTAAGGTTTTATAATATACTCCCTCCGTCATGCAAATGTGTGCTTATTTAACCAGGTACGGATTTTAATAAAAGTGAGTAATAATAGTTACTTTTTCCTTTTATAGTAAAAAAAGTACAAAAATATAATAAGTTTTTTATTTAAAAAGGAAACGATAATATTTTTCAATAACAACCCAAAAAAGAAAATAAACATAGATTTAAAAGACGAAGGGAGTTTTAGATAAATAATGTAGATTAACATGTTTCCTTTTTGAGATTCAATATTTTATGAACTAAAGATTAATAAACTTTACTAGTATTTCTTGGCAATGTCGTATAGTTTTTAAAGAAAGAAAATAGATAAATAAGTTGAGAAGGTTTTGTTCTTTGAATGATTTTTGGTTTAATGTTTTAGATTTTATGGGATTTTTTTGTTATTAGTAATTGAAAATTGTAAAAATATATTTAATTATTTTTTTAAAGTATTTTATGGGAAAAAATAGTTTCTTTTTATTGGAGAATATTAGTAAAAGAATTGGCAAGTGATGTAAAATAAAAAAGAATAAAAGAAAAAAAGAAGAAGTTTTTGGCAAGTGATGTAAAATAATTAAATCGGATATTTGTACATGAGTTGTTAACAAGTTACTCCCTCCTTCCCGTGAAAGTTGGCTTACACTAGATACGCGAGAATTTAGATAAAGTATAATTAGTAAGTAATCAAAAAGTGTATTAGTCAAAATAATTATTGTATAGTAAAAATAATTATAAATTTAGATTAAAATAATTAAATAGTTTAATTAAAATTTAAAAAATTATAAATTTTAAAATGTGATTAAAGTGTATAATTATATTTTTAAAAATAAAAAGGATAAAATATGTGGGACAAACGAAAATAAAAAATATGGACAAATTATGTGAGACGAATAGAATAGAGTATATTGAATTAAAATTAACTTATATTCATTCGTTAAGAAAAAAAATATTACTTCAATATAATATGCTTTTGACTCGTTAATTTAATTTATGGGTGTACTTCTTTTGCACCAAATCTCTCAATTTTATTATAAACAAATCTTGGAAAACTATCACTATAAATAAAAATATTATAGTATTCAATTTCCATTACATATAAAATACATTGTACACCCTAATGGTGTAAAATCTTTGCAAATAAGTCGATCATTTTCATTTTCTTATTATTATCTTTACTATTTGTAAAAATTCTAAATTATTCTCCTCTTTTCCCTTCGGAATTTATGAAAAATCATTTTAAATACTAAAGATAGTAAACGTAATATCCACCAAATTGTTCTTAATAGAAAGAAAATAAAATAAAATAAAAAATTGTAGAGAAACAATAAAAAAATATTTTGCTATGGTTATCGTTGTTTCTTTTTCATAATTCTAAAAATTGTCTAAAATAAATTTTTTAAAAAAATTATTGTTATGCCAAACTCTGGATTTTCTCAAATCATACAAATTCACAGGATACAATTGGCCGTATTCTCAAAATGTGCAAAATTATTTGATTTTCAACGATATTTCAAAGTGCATACGAAGGAATTTCGTCACCTAAAAATAATAATAATAAATTAAAAATTAGAATCTGAAGTTTAAAATAAAATTTATCAATAATATTAAAAAAAAAAAAAAAAGGAAAGAAGAAGACAAACCTGATCTAATATTTGATTAGTCGCTCGCAACTCTTCCTTAATCTTCAAATGCTCATCAATTGATACACTTGAAAAATATGCAGATGCAACATATTATGAACAGGAAGGTCGAAGTTGAACCTTTGCTATATTCCCTCTAGAACCAAGTCCCGGGACATGAGCTTTTGTGTTGAAACCACCAAATGTATTAACAAGTTTTTTTGAATCCAATTCAGAAGTAGAGCTACATTTAGAAAATTTTTGTAGCTCCGCCTAAGAATTAAAAATTTTGAAACCATTATATTATATTCCTCAATATAGAAAAATATATATTCTAAATAAATTATGCCTCGAGAGCTGCAACATCTTGAGTAGGTACTTCATTTTTTTTACTAAAACATTGACGATAAAGTTCTATTTCGGTTGGTGTGCGTCCTAATTCGTCACTCTGCAAAATAAATATCATTAAATGTATATATAATACAGTAATTATATTTACAAACTATAATAAATTGAATATTATCATAATCTTTCAAACACGACCAACAGATCGAGCGCCCCCACGGTATTGATTTGCAATTGCTGTCGAATTTTTTTTTTCTATTTTCTTTATTTCGTTCAACTATATCCTGAAATTCTTTAGAACCTCATTGCTCCTTCATTTTATCTCATTTTTCAAGAAAAATCTATTTCGGACATACATTATTTTTTCGAGCATAGCCTAATTTCTCCTTAATATAACTTGCTAATTTTATTTAATAATAAATTGCGAATCTCAGATTCGTATTGAGGTTCTCACCTATAAAAATATTGTTGAAATTTAATAGTTAAAATCAATTCAATAATAATATAGTTAATAAAACAAACTCAATACTAATATACCTTAAATATTTCAAACTATTTGTGTCATTGACTATTAGGTATAGGTTCAAAAGAATTTGATTGAAATATATTTTCTATATGTCCAATCAAACCTGGAATTGAACTATAAAAATAAAAAATAAAAATTGCATTTTATTAGAATCCATATTTTAAATGTATGATAAAAAAAATTAAATAATATCATTAAAGATTCAACATAATATAAAAACTCACTCAAAAGTACTCGTTGTAATCTATGTCCTATCATCAGTAATTCATCCATCACCATTTTGATTTTCTTCACGATTTTACTAGTCATTCCACCTTCGACTGATGATATCGGAAATAGGAGTGGTTGATTGTCCATCGAAAAAATTTATATTTTCTGCATTACAAAAATAAAAATAATTATACTGAAACATAAAACAAATAAAAAATTTATAACATAAAATATAGTGTATTTAAATCCAACACAAGTGCTTAACCAAACTAATTATAACATACTCCCTCCGTCCCAAAACTATAATTTTGGTTGTGTTTGCCACGAAATTTAAGAAATATTGATATTATATTGATAGTGTGTAAAAAATATGGGTAAAAGACTTTTTTGTCCTTGTAAGTGTATCAGTGTAAAAAATAGTAGCAATTATGTAATAATAATGAAAAAGCAAGGGTAGTTTTATAGTGATATGGTTATTTATGGAAATGAGACTATTATTTTGGGACGAACAAAAATTGTAAACAAGACTATTGTATTGGGACAGAGAGAGTATTATATATATATATATATAAGTTTCTCAATTTTATAATTCAATCCAAGCATCAAAGAAGCAAATTCTAAAATTTTAAAATTTCTAGAAAAAAGCAGTAAAGCAAATAATAGTTTTTAATGTAAACCTCTAGAAAAAATAATAAAACAAATAATATTTCTAGAAAAGAAATGCACTTATTCTGAATTTGATAATCATAGAAGGAAGAACAAAGATAAACATCACCTTAGATAGCTTGGATTGATGGGAAGAACTCGAAATCTTTTTGGAAGAATTTTTCTCTTTTTGCCCTAGCGCGATTTCTCTCGGGACTATTCTGCACTGCGTTCTCTTTTTTTTTTTATAACGTGGGAACCCGCAGCCGCTACCCGAAAGTGCCCACTGGGTAAACCCCCAATCGAACCTAATACCTTGCAAATTAGGCCCGACAGACAAATCACACTAGGCGAACCATGTGTGGCAGATGACCTAAAGCGTCGGGGGTTTGAACACATGTGTTCTCCTCCTTGGCAACATGTAAAGTGGGGCCCCACCTCCCTCTATTTCTTTATTTTATTTTTACTATAATTTTGTAACCATCGGGCTTTTAGGCTTTTAATTAATCTCTAATGTCACGATGGTGGAGTTAGTCATGACTAAGACTAACTAGGGGTGTAAATCTGAATTTTTCTTTACTTTTTCTGCCAATTATGTCAAATTTTATATTTGTCATCTGCATACCGCAAATAAACAATAAAAATACAAATTAGGCAAAATTCAATAAAATTCAATCAAATATCACATATAATATAAACATTTAACGCATACAATTTCTAACTACCGATATGTTCTTTCAAAGTACTTTTCATATTATTAGCTACACATAGTTGATCATTTATTTATTTTATTAGTTATTAGTTTTTTTTGTTTTTTTCTTTTATGATAGAAGGTTGTTAATCTCATTGCACATGAAATTTATAATTGTTTTGTGAAATTTAATTTAGAATTTTTTGCTGGCATTTCATGCCTTGATCCCCGATATTCATTTGCTAACTCTGATGTTGAAAATTTATCCCGTCTTGCCGAATTATATCCAAATGATTTTTATGATAAAAATTTTTTGACCAAAGAACTCAAGCAGTATATTACGACAGTAAAAAAATATGAGTTTTTTTTTTTCGTCCTCATAGTATTGGTGATCTGGTAAAAATGATGATCGAAAGAAAATGATACACTGCTTTAAAGTTAGTGTATCGACTTGTTGAATTATCATTTGTTTCGTTTGTTGCAACATCTACGATTGAGAGATTTTTCGCTGCAAAAATTATTAAAAATGATTTGTTGTCGCAAAAAAAAAATGGATGATGAATTTTTTGCAGATAGTTTACAGTGCTATTTTTAAAAAAAAAAATTACAAAAATTGAAAATAAAACTATTTTGCAATATTTTCAAAACATGGTGAGTTCGAATAAAACAATTGCCGGATATATATATATATTTGAACAATATATAATATCACTTGCGTTAGAATTTATGATCTTTTAGTATTAGTTTTTATTTCGTGTAAGAAATATACTCTCTTTAGTTAAATTTCTGGTTCGATCACACTTATAATTAATCTATATATAATATTAAAAGTTAAAATATCGAAATTTTTTGTACA